ACTGCCTCTCTCAGGCTGCTCTGCACTTCTGCCACAAACCTCTGCACCCTGACACATTTTCTCAACTGTGAGTAAATGTTTACATAATTATTCCTTGCCTTTACTCATTTATAGTGTGTGTTGCTCAATAGTCATAGTGAAAAAAATGTTCTCTGTGGCACTACAGGATATGGCAGGACCAGCTCTGGGGGCTGCATCTCAGAGTGGAAGGTTTCAATCTTTGCCAGCATAGAAATACACCCAAACCTGCACAGACAGTGAAGTGACAGTGCAGAAAGCACACACAGACAAGGAAATTGGTCCTCAGCCAAGTGGCAAATTTGATTGAAAAAAGAGCTGCAGGAATTTCTCCTGAGATCTCAGCACCTTTCCAGCCACTTGGGAAAAGCACATGATGCCCCCACTGGAAAAGGGTATTGATAGAGTCAGACCTTGGGGAAGGGGCTCCTGGAGCCTGTTTGGCTCAGGCAGTGTGGGGGCACTGAGGCTGCAGGGAGGGGGGATGTTCTTCAGGAACATACCCTGAGAACCTGCACATCACCCATCAAGCCACAACATTCTGGCCATGTGCCCTCCCATGTCCTCAGGGCTGGTAGAGCAGGGGGAAGGGGCAGGATGGAGCTGGATGTGACTTCAGCAGGGCCAAGGTGTCTCTGTCACAAAATCACAGCATCACAGAATCCCAGGGGTTGGAAGGGACCTGGAAAGCTCCCCCAGCCCAACCCCCCTGCCAGAGCAGGGGCACCCAGAGCACATCACACAGGAACGTGGCCAGGGGGGTTGGAATGTCTCCAGAGAAGGAGACTCCACAGCCTCTCTGGGCAGCCTGGCCCAGGGCTCTGGCACTCTCACAGCAAAGAAGTTCTTCCTGAGATTCCCATGGAACCTCCTGTGCTCCAGTTTGCCCCCACTAGGGAACCTCCTGGGCTCCAGTTTGCACCCACTGCCCCTTGTCCTGTCACTGGACATCACTGCACAAAGCCTGCCGCTGTCCTCCTGACACTGCCCTGAACAGATTTGTGCCCATGGATGAGGTGGCCCCTCAGTCTCCTCTTCTCCAAGCCCAACAGCCCCAGCTCCCTCAGCCTTTCCTCAGCAGGGAGATGTTCCCCTCCCTCCAGCATCTCTGTGGCTCTGCCCTGGGCTCTTTCCAGCAGTTCCCTGTCCTTCTGGAACTGAGGGGCCCAGAACTGGACACAACATTCCAGATGTGGCCTCACCAAGGCAGAACAGAGGGGCAGAAGAACCTCCCTTGACCTACTAACCACCTCCTTTCTAACCCACCCCAGATGCCATTGGCCTTCTTGGCTACAAGGGCACATGGCTGGTCATGGTCACCCTCCTGCCCACCAGGACCCCCAGGTCCCTTTCCCCATCACTCCTCTCAGCCCCCACCCTGTACTGGTATCCTGATGGCCAGGGAAGCCTCTCCATCTTGATGCCAACTCAGGATGGCTGTTGGCTGGGGAACCATCTGCTAGGGCCACCAAATTTGTCCCTCACCATTTCTCCTCAGAAATCCCAGTCTGGAACAGCAAGGCTGTGCCTGGTGCCAGGGTGGGGACCAACAAGAGAGGTGAAGGTTGGGTGGGCATGGCAGGGGTGGCCACCACTGCAGGGCCATTCCCAGAACGAGCTCCTTCTCATGCCCCTGCACAAGCAGGAACCCAGCAGCTCCTGCCACCTCGTTGCTGCAACTTGAAAGGGGCACCAAGATGCTCCAGCAGGTGCTGCTGGTCCTGGCCATCACTGCAGCACAAGGTCTTTTGCTGATACAACTGGGAAGCATCAAATCTAACCAGGTCTCACTGGTACCAGGCAGCAACACTCTGGCTGGAGATGCCAGGCTGCAGCAACCTGCCCTGCAAGCCTTGGACACTGGGAAACCATGAATTATGGGCTGTGCTGGAGCACTTGTCTGGCAGCCAGATCCTGGATGTCCTTCCTCAATGCCACAGCACCCTCTGCTCAGCTGCTCCACGTCAGAAAAGGACCTGGGGGTTCTCAGTGACAAGGGGCTGAACAGGAGCCAGTGTGTGCCCAGGTGGCCAAGAAAGCCCATCCTGGCCTGTATCAGAAATGGTGTGACCAGCAGAAGCCCAGAGGGGATTGTCCCCCTCTGCTCAGCACTGGGGAGGCCACACCTGGAGTGTTGGGTCCAGTTCTGGGCACCTCAATTCCAGAGGGATCTCAAGGGGCTGGAGCCAGGACAGAGGGGGCAACGGAGCTGGGGAAGGGCCTGGAGAATCAGTCTGATGAAGAACACTTGAGGGAGCTGGGGATGTTCAGTGTGAGAAAGAGGAGGCTGAGGGTTGGACTCGCTGATCCCAAGGGTCTTTTTCAACCTGAATGGTTCCATGTTCAACAAATCTCAACCTGACCCCCCACCAGTCCTCCCCCCCCAGCCATTTGCATTTTTTGGTTGTTCCTTTGTTTATTTGTTTGTAATTTCTTCCTCTAGCTTTTCTTTCACAGAAAAGGTCATTTTTCTTCCTAAACACGTTTGTTTGTTGCAAAGAGTTGCCAACACTTTTGCTTTTTGTTATTTTAGTATTTATGAGCAGTGGAGTTGTTTTTTTTTTCCTTGTTTTTCCCTTTTCTTATGCTCTTTCAAGCCTTAAGAGCATTTTGACAATACCTTTCCTGAGAGGCAGGGCCTGGTGGCAGGGCACTGCAGAGATTTCCATCTCAAAGTGAACAATCTTTAGAGAGAAGGAACTGAAAAAGACCATCAGAATCAAGTCTGGTTTGAACAATTCCCAACGTCTGATCACAGAATCCCCAAGGCTGGAAAAGACCTTTAGGATCATCAAGCCCAGCCTATGACCAGCACCCCCACATCTCCAGACCAGGGCACCAAGTGCCACCTCCAGCCTTGCCTTGAACACCTCCAGGGATGGTGCCTCCACCACTGCCCTGGGCAGCCCATCCCAGTGTCTGATCACCCTTTCCATGGGGAAGTGCTTCCTGATGTCCCAGTGGACTGGTGGGCTCCATCCTCTCCTTAAAAATCCTTAAAAATCATTCCTTGGGGATGCCTGCAGGGTGAAATGCTCTGTCAGCAACCCAACCTCAGCTTCCTCTCCCTCCCATCCCTTTCCAGCAAATGTGAAAACTGCAGGTCAAGGGGACATGGGAAACACAGACAGGCCCCACTTCCAAAAAGGTTTCCATCAGACTGAATCCCACAGGAGATGCATCAATGCTTTGCTAAAAGCTGAGGTGGCTTCTGGCCCTGCTGAGGGTTTGGGTACAGCCAGGTGGGAATGGGCAAAGGGAACCTGGGCCTTGAATGACACTTCCCTACGTGGTTTAATTCTTGCTGCTTTAGGAACAAGCAGCAAAATTTCTGTTCCCTTCCTGAGCTCTCCTACCCTGGGAGGGGTGACATGTGAGATGAAGCCTTCCCTTCAAGTGCTTTGAAATCCAGGAGACTGTTATGGAGAGGATGGATTTTTAGCCTTACAAGTAAAAGACTATAAACGTTTTACTTCTTCTTCTTCTTTCCAGAGCCCCTGGAGCACTGGGGCAGTTCAGTCAGAGCTTTGCTGTCCCTTGCCAGCCTGGCTCCAGGTACCTGAGGTCTCTGCACTCTTTTCACTCATCCCACTGCAGTCAGGGGGGCACAAGGGCCTTGGTCCCTGCTGCAAAGAAGAACCAGGTGGAAGCAGAGCCCAGGCTGCTCTGAGAGGAGAACATGTGTCCTCCCTTCCTCCAGCACAGCCTCTAAGAGACACTTCCATGGGCTGAAAAGTCACCAAATGGCAGCAGGTTGACCTGGGAGCTGAATTTTAGGGAGGGCTCCAGCTTTCTCTGCTTCCCCATCAGCTCATGAACTTGATTTGCCATTTTTGCTCTTTGAAGAAGCCAGTCTGAAGGCACCAGTGCCTCAGTGGGACAGGATGGTGCTTCCTTCTCTTCCCGTTGCTCACATGCCAGGATGAGGTTTGCAAGGAACAGTGGAAGCAACAAAACCCTTGGGACTGTCACAGTCCTGCCCTTCATGGTGGGAGTTCAGCTCTCACAGACCCCCCAGGCCCCTTACAAACCCCTATGGCCTCACCAACTCTCACTTTGACAACCAAAATCCAGAGCAGGATTTCCAGGGTTCTTTCCATCACACGCCAGGATGCCAGGAACAAGTTTTTAAAGGACTTTTAAAAGACTTCTACACAACCCCACCCAATTCAGTCTGGACAGTGCTGGAGGGTACTACGAGAAGACAGAAATGCTTATATCCAGGTCTAATTTATTTGATTCACAGGAACTTGGCAAGAGTCAAAGTTTATTGGCAGGCAAAGGCAGCTGGATGATCAGTGAAATGAGCAGTGATCTCACAGGAAGCCACACATTTAATCCATTGGCAAGAAAAGTGCAGCACTGCTTTTGGGGAGATTTTGGGAGGTTTTGATTTGGGAGATCCCCACCACAACAGCCTGGACTGTCCTTGCTTTCCCAGGAAGGTCTAACATTAAAAATCTGTTTAAAATCCAACTACCCAACAGACATGAGGCAGCTCCTGCTGCCAGACCTGCCTCCCTTCCAGTGCTCAAATCCAGCAGGACCAAAGCACCCCAGGGCAACATCTTGGTAAAACTGGCACAACATCATTATCTTCAGCCTTGGACCTGAATGAGCCACAGAAGCACCCATCAGAGGTGGCCTCCATGGCACATCTCACCCTGCTTGGAGCATCCCTCTGCCACAGCCAAGGCACACTGAGCAGAGAGCAGCAGGGCAGGTTCAAGGCTCCCAGCTCCAAAGCATCATTGAGAAAAATGTTTTTCCCTTCCAGAAATAAATTCCAAAGTTCTCCCTCACAGGGCTGAGCTGAGAGCAGGTCCCTGTAGCAACACGGGACCATCTCACCCCACACACAGCAAGAAGGACCCCAGTAGCACTCACACAAACATATCCAAAACAGTTGGTGCTCCTCAACAAATCACTTCTGGAAGCAACTGGTATTTGACTAAAGCTGCATTTAAAACATGAGCACTTACCTGCCAGAAGATGCTGTCTATTGTGTTTCCCAGGAAGCCATCTCTGCCTTCCGATGACACCAGCTTAGGTCCCAGAATTGTCATGAATTCATCAAAATCCACCTGGCCATCCCCTGAAATGAAAGGAAAAGGTGGAGGTTTTCACTGAAGTACCACCTAGTGCCCATCTCCAACGTGCTGCTCCAGATCTGCTGCCCATCACGGACCCACACGTGCATTATGGCACCTCCTGCACCAACTCCACGGGGCCTGCAGACCCAGGTCTGCTCTGACCCCAAGGAGTGGCCTGTGTTGCTGTGGTGGAGCCACACCTGAAGGCAGGAGCTGGTGATGCACAACTAGAGATGGGCTGGTTGCTCTCCAGCCCCAGAGGGCTTGTAGGCAAGTCACTTCTCAACAAACCAGTATCTCATAGCACCACAGAATCCCAGACTGGTTTGGGTTGGAAAGGACCTTCAAGATCATCCAGTCCCACCCCCTGCATGGGTAGGGACACCTCCCACCAGCCCAGGCTGCTCCAAGCCCCATCCAACCTGCCCTTCAACACTGCCAGGGATGGGGCAGCCACAGCTTCCCTGGGCAACCTGGACCAGGGTCTCACCACCCTCACAGGGATGAATTTCTTCCTAAGATCTCATCTCCATCTCCCCTCTTTCAGTCTCAAGCCCTCAGCCCAGGCCCTTGGCAGCAGGACAGCAGCACAGCCAGGGCTTTCCCCCTGCAGAGCCCTCCAACAGCCACGGCTCTGCAAAGCTTTGCTGGGGCCAAGCCCACCCTCCAGAGGAAGGGAGCACACACAGAGGGAAGAGCCAGACTAATGTGAATCCAGCAGGAGTTTCTTTCCAGCTTCCCATCTGCATCTATCTCTGCAAAGCCCCGTGTGCTCAGCATGCAGAGCAGGCAGAGGAACCTCAGCTCCAGGGCCATCAGTGGGCAGAGGAGGTTTCTCCTGCTATGAACAGCTGAGCCTGTGCAGTCCCCAGCCCCTCTGGCACACGGAGTGTTTTGTAAATGAGGCTTGTGCTGGTTGCAGCACATCTGAGCATCACAGCAAATATCACTTCTCCCCCAGAGAAGCTTAATGAAAATGGCAAAAAAAATTAAATAAAATAAAATAAAGGTGTGTGGGGGAAATTTCTGCCTGTTCAAGTATCTCTAAAACATCCACTCGTCTGCAGAAGGCAGTTCAGAGTCTGTATGACTCTCCTTGTCTGCCAGGGCACAGACATTTCCTCCCACATGTTGTTGTGCCAGTGGCTATGGGTGGATACATGAGCCCTCCTTCCAGTCTGGAAACAAAATGAGCAACTGGGAGACTTTTGGGTTGGTTTGTGTTCCAGCTCAGCTGGAGCTCACCTCCTCATGCAGCTGCTGCTGCCAAACAATCAGGTGTCAGAAGTGTCTAAACCCACCAGACTAAAGCAGATCAATGCAAGGGCCACTCTGAGGATGCCCTGATGAGCTGCAGCAGCTGCAGCAGCCCTGAGGGACCATTTTCCCACGGGCACTGCTGTTCTCTGGCCTCTTTATTGCATTTCCAGTGTCTGATCTGGGCACGTTCACCACTGATTGAAATCTCCCCACATCCTTATCTTCACTGAAACACGACGTAAAAACAAGCAGAGTCCAAGTGCTTGTTTGGCAGAGCAGTGATCCCTGAGCCCTGGGCTCGGACCAGCACGTCCTGAAGACAGGAGTGAATATCCTGGAGGTGAGCAAGTGATGGGCGTTCTGGAAGGAAACCCAGCAGGGATCCATGGAATCGTGGAATCATTTTGGTTGGAGAAGACCCTTAAGATCACTAAGACAAATGGATAACCCAGCCCTGCCCAGGCCACCACTGCCCCATGTCCCTCAGCACCACATCTCCAGGGCTTTGAAACCCCTCCAGGGATTTGAAACCCCTCCAGGGATTTGAAACCCCTCCACCCCTGCCCTGGGCAGCCTGGGCCAGGGCCTGACAGCCCTTTGGGGAAGAAATTGCTCCCAATATCCAACCTCAACCTCCCCTGCACAACTTGAGGCCATTCCCTCTTGTCCTATCCCTTGTTCCTGGGGAGCAGAGCCCGACCCCCCTGGCTCCAACCTCCTCTCAGCAGCTGCAGAGCCAGCAGGTCTCCCCTCAGCTCCTTGTCTCCAGGCTGGACACCCCCAGCTCCCTCAGCTGCTCCTGCTCACACTTGTGCTCCAGCCCCTTCCCCAGCTCCCCTGCCCTTCCCTGGACACGCTCCAGCCCCTCAAGGCCCTTCTTGTCATTGGGGACCCAGGACTGACCCCAGGATTTGAGGTGCAGCCCCACCAGTGCTGAGCACAGGGTGGAAAGAACAGCATTGATTCCTAACAGCTGTGAGCCCACAAGGCAGCAGAAGACTCCATCCAGCTGCTGGACTTGCTCACATCTCCAGGGCACAGGTTGAAGGTCTTTACAGGGTTGGAGCAGGCTGAGCACTTGTAGGATGGAGCTCATTTCTGGGACAGCTTAAGCAGGAAAGGGATGTGCACCCCACCACTTGGAAAGCCATTCCCTAAAACATTTCTGGTCTATGAGGAAATGTTCTCCTTCTGCTTCCCCGTGGGAGGCACCAGTTTCAGACATCAGGTGGGATTGTATCAGTCACAGCAGGTTGGGTCACTCTGGGGAAGGTAACACAAGGTGACAGGAGACTCAGGGCAACTCACATGGCAGGACATCCCTTCCAGGGAAGGGGAAGAACAAAACCATCCACTGGGATGCAAATTGGGTTGAAGAAATTAGCCAGATGAGCAGGAAAACAATTTGCATTTTAAAGAGAATCCGGCCCCTGCCCAGGCCTGTGGTTGGTCTGTGCAGGTGAGACCCCAAATGATTGACTTTTAGTCCGTTTGTATTTTCTGCAATATCACTTCGTCCACGGAGGAGAGGCAGGACTTGGTCCAACACATGACTCATGAGAAAGTGGGTGCCAGGGCTCCTGGGCTCTGTGTCTGACTCAGACCATGGCTTTGGGCAAACCCTTGCTCATGGCCTCCCTGTGCCAGGGACCATCCCCAGCTTCCCAGGGTTTAATGATCAGCTTAATTATAGCACTTCCTACAACCTCAGGAGAAAGGGGCCATTACCAAACGCACTCTCCCCTTCCTGACTGGTTCTTCAATTCAAACTGGCAACTAAAACTGGACTCCAAAACACCTGGCCTGGAAGAAATATCCTTTTAACATTCATTTTAAACTGCAGAAAACACACCTCCCTGACATCAGAGAAGGCAGTGATGGGACAAGGGGTGATGGTTTTAAACTGAGAGAGGGGAGATTGAGGTGAGATCTTAGAAAGAAATTCTTCACTCTGGTGGTGAGGAGCTGGGATGGGTTGCCCAGGGAGGTTGTTGATGCCCCATCTCTGGAGGTTTTTAAGGCCAGGTTGGATGAGGTTTTGTGCAGCCTGGTCTGGTGGGAGGGGTCCCTGCTCATGGCAGGGGGGTTGGAGCTGGATGATCTTTGGGGTCCCTTCCAACCTTAATGATTCTAGGATTCTATGAAGACGACTGCAGCAGGAAACACCCCCAGCTGCACCCTGCAACCAAGCTGCCCCCCTGGGCCTGTACCAGCCCCTCCCTGGTGCACTTGTCCTGATCCCACAGGATCTACCATTAGCAGTGGTTTGCCCAGCCTGGATGTTCAATGTAAGGGTGGTGAGACCCTGGCCCAGGTTGCCCAGGGAAGCTGTGGCTGCCCCATCCCTGGCAGTGTTGAAGGGCAGGTTGGATGGGGCTTGGAGCAACCTGGGCTGGTGGGAGGTGTCCCTGCACATGCAGGGGTTGGATCTAGATGATCTTTAAGTCCTTTACAACCCAAACCAGTCTGTAATTCTCTCCTTCTGTGCTGGCCAAGGAGAGTGCAGCAGATCACCCTCAAATCAGCTGGGACCTGGGAGAGGAGAGAGGGAGCAGGATGGCAAGTCCCCACATCCCAGGTAGCAGCAGCAGCAAACTCACCTGCAAGAGCTTTTCTGCTTTGCAGAATTAATGAAATGCTGAGAGGAGCAGCAGCTTGAACCCACCTCACCCATGGGAAAGCCCCAACCCTCAGCCTGCTGTCAACCACTGTCAGTCCAAAAGCCTCCTGTTGGAGCAGCTCCCTAGGAGGATGGGATTAAATATTCATTGGGCTGGAGAAATCCAGGGCAGGAGAGGGAAACATGCATGGAGTGCATCACCTGTACCCAAGGGCAGAACAGAGACCTACACCTGGTTTTCAGAGCCCTGTGCATGACAGTGGCAGCCTGCTTGCTAAGTAAGTCACAAAATCACACCTTGCTTGGAAAAGCAATTCAAGCTCAAGTCCACCCGTTAACACTGACCAAATCCTTAACAAAACCATATCCCTAAGTACCATGACTACACCATTCTTACACCTCCAGGGATGGTGACTCCACCTCTGCTCTGGGCAGCCTCTCCTGATGCCTGATCACCTTTTTCCCTGGCCAGTCTCAGGACAATCAGGTTCTTCTTCCTCCTCCCCAGTTCCTTGCAAGGGCACTAAGACAACACACACACCTCCCTGGAGATGAGGAGCTGCCGTGTGCAGCCTGATAAGTATTCACACTGGGTTTTCTTTTCCCCCTCCCTCAAATTTGACCTCCAGAGTGCAGCTAGGTGATATATTTAAAGTTAATGAGCTAGTCTTCTGCAGCTCGGGTCCCAGGTACACGCAAGACTTGCTGTTTATTTTTATTCCCTTAATAAGCAGCTGCAGGGACTCTGTCCTGCTCTGTGTCCCTGCTCATGCCCCAGCCTGGGGGAGGCTGCTGGGCCTGCAAACACAGGATGTGCACAGCAAAGGATACACCCCAGGGGAGTATTTTGGGTTTGGAGACGTTCAGGGCCTGATGGCCAACCTGACCCTGCCCCCAGCACCACCCAGGGACCTTCTGCCTCATTACAGCCTCAACCTTCAACTCCATCAAGAGCCAGGAAAGCCTTTCATAAAGATTTCAACTTGAAAAAAACAACAACCAGTTGTAGTTTCCATGAACTTGCCTGAAATGAAGAGATAAATCTCCACTGCAATGGTGACACAGCTGTTCTGCATGGGGGAAACTGAGGCACAGAGCTGCCCTTCCCAAGTGTTGTCAGAA